ATAGATGAAAAAATTCTCAACAAAGCTTAAGCGAATTGAATCTAGCAACATAAAATACAGTATACAGTTACCAAGTGGGGTTTGTCCCACAAATTCAAGGTGGTTTCAATATTTGAAAATCAATCAATGTCTTTCTCATCATTGTAACAGACTAAAATCCAAATGTCACATGATCATTTCCATAGATACATAAAAAACATTTCCTTCATAAAATTTAAAATTCATTCCTGGTAAAAATTATCAGCAATCTAAGAATAAAAGGGAACTTTCTCAACTTAATAAAGGGCATTTACAAAAACCTACAGCTATATTCACAGGCAATGTGACTCCATGTAAAAAATTTCTAGGAACTATATTTCTAAATACTTTACCAAAGTGTCAGGATACAAGATCAATATACAAAAGTCATTTGTGTTTCTGTATGCCAGCAACAGATAATCAGAAAATGAAATTTTAAAACATCTTTAATAATAACATTTAAAGTATGAAAAATTAGGGGTATATCCGGCAAAAGATATGTAATACCTATATACTGAAAATGACAAGATATCGCTAGGAGAATTTTAAAAGACACAATAAATAGAGAACTATATTGTGTTCTTGGATGAGAGGAAGTCCTTATTGTCAGTTCTTCCCCAAATTGATCTACAAACTCAATGTCATCCCAGTCAAAGGCCCAGAAGAATATGAAAATGCAAAGAGCTGAGTATAGCTGAAGCAACTTTGAAAAAGAATAACAATGTTAAAGGACTTACATTTTCTGATTTCAAGGCTTATTGTAAAGCTACAATAATCAATACAATGTCCTGTTGGATCAGAATAGAAAAATAAATTAAGATAGTGGAACGGAGTGTCCAGAAATATGCCTACACATTTATTGTCAAATTGGTTTTTGACAAAGGAGCAAGGGCAATTCAATGGAGAAGGGACAATCTTATCAATAAATGATGCTGGAATAATTGGCTAGCCATATGCAAAAAAATGAACCTCAAACCTTACAGCTCACACCACACACAAAAATCAACTTGAAATGAGTCATAGACTTATGTAAAGCTAAAAATGTGGAACATTGAAAAGAAAACAAGGGAGTAAATTTTAATGACCTTGGATTTGGTATAAATTATTAAATAGAAAAAAGTAATGTGAAGTATAAAAGAAAAAATCAACAAGCTGAACTTCATTGGTATTATAAACTTTAGATCTTCAAGAATCATTGTTAAAAATGAAAAGTCAAATCATGGACTAAAATATGTTATATGTACATACTCAGTAATGGACTTGTATATAGAATAGGAATATATAAGAAACACAATGCAATAATAAGATGAGCAACCCAATTAAAAAATAGACAAAAGGTTAAATAGAACTCTCACCAGAGAAAAGAGATTTGGAGAGCACATAAGCACATGGAAAATCGCTCACCATGGTGGTCCTTAAGAAAGCACAAGGTAAAACCATACCATGTACCTTCTAGAGGAGCTAAAGTTAAATTGCCCACCCCCAGAGTTGGTGGAGATAGGGACTTCACTAGGCCACTTTACTGAGTGTGGTGAAGACTTCACTAGGTGAGGCGAAGCTATGGAGCAACTGGAGGTCCCACTGATGGGAATACAAAATGGTGCAACGATGTTTTGGGAAACAATTTAGCAGTTTCTTAAACAGTTGGACATATACTTACTGTATGTCCAAGTCTTTTCACTCCAAGTTACTTACCCAAGAGAAATGAAAGCATATACCAGTTTGTTGGCTACACACAAATGCCCACAGAAAGTTGTTAATGGTCCCCACACTGGGAAGAAAAAAACAACTCCAATGCTCATCAACAGGTGACTAATCAACAAACTGTGGTATATCTATGCACTGGGGTAATATTCAGCAATAAAGAAGGCTTACCTATTGGTACACCTGACAGCATAAATACATCTCCAAGTCAACCCACTAGGGTAAGTGAAAGAAGATATACACAAAGAAGTTCATACTGCATGAATCACATTACATAAAATTCTAAAAATCTAAAAATTGTAAACTGACCTGTAGGGACAAAAAGCAGGTAAGGGGTTACCTGGGGCTGTGGACAAAGAAAGAGTGGATTGCCAAGGACCACAAGGAAAGGTTTGGTTGTGATAGAAATTTTCTGTTTCTGAATTTTGGTAGTAGTTTTACAGGTGTGTACATTTGCCATGATCCATCAATTACATAGTTTTAATTCAATTTATTGTATGTAAATTGTACCTTGCCAAAGTAGCCCTCCCCCCATCGCACCCCCGAACTCTGATCACCACCTACTGAGAAACCCGAGGACAGAGAGACCAACTACTCTGCCCCCAAACTCCTGACGCAGAAACTGTGAGATTAGGTTTATAGTTTTAAGCCTCTAAATTTGGGGGTAATTTTGTTACTCAGCAATAGATAACTAGTACAAGGAGTAAATTTCTGAGTAGGTAGATTCCTGGAAAATAGAAATAATCATCTGTAAGAGAAGAAAGAGGAAAGATTAGTGCCTTAGAGAATATTGGGAAGGTAAAGAAAGGAGGTTTAAGCACATTTTAAGTAATCAATTGACAGTGGGTCTCAAGTGGACCAGAACAGCCAAATCAGGGATCTTAGTAAGAGCAGCAGCTGATGGCCGCCAAGGAACTGGGTATCACAAAGTGTCCTTCTGGTCTGAGCAATCAGTGACCACATCATTCTGGGGTGGGGGTGGAACTGTCTTCTTCCTCACTGGCTCAAATCTTCAGTGAACCCTGTAGGAACATCAGGCATGAAGTAACTGCTTTGTTCCTATAAAAGTAGTTGATGCAAACCGCCCGAGTCAGTGCTCCTTTATCAAATGCAGTCACTTTACTAATAGTTTCACAGAGAGCAACTGCACACTAATTACAGCCCAGCCTTGATTGCCTGTCATTGTTACTGATTGCCTGCATGAATGGGTCCCTGGTTTCAGGAGTAGCAAACTGTCATTTTATCTGACACCATTTTTTAAAGTCAGAATTTGCTTCAAAATCATGTGTAGAGAGACCTTTACCTTGCCGTTATCCCGAGAAGATGAAGAGCAGACAAGAGACTCTCTCTTAATTTCTCTGCACTTCAAATCTCTCTGCCTCATTACCAGTCACTGCCTCCTTGTGCCCCGTTACAGAGGCAGTGGTAGCCCCCAGCTTTGCAAGGTTGGCCCCTCCACTAGTGCTCTTAACCCAGTTCCTGGCTCCCTGTGCTGAGCCTCAGTCACCCCTGCTCAGATCTCCCTTTCCACGTGTCCCTTCCCCTTAGACAGCAAGGCTTTCCCCCCACAGATAGGTTTCCTCCCCCGATGCCTCTCCCATCTACCACCCCGTATCTTGCCTCCCCTGAGCTGAATTACTTCTTGACTTCTTAGTCACTCTTTAGCCCAGATAAGTGTGTTCATATACCTACCATTCCACTATATCGTGTTTGAAATCCCCTCTACAAGCAGAACTGGAGCAGGATAAATTCTGAAGAGCTGCCAGTTCCGAGGAGCTGAAAGATATCCGCATGATTCATTCATTCTCTCATTCAGTGAAGATCTCGTCACTGCCCATGATGTGCAGGTGCTGTCCTATAGCAGCTCATAGACACTCCAAGAAGAAACAAGGTCAAGGATACAGCGGTAAACAAAGAAGACAGAAGTCTCTGTCCTCTTAGGGCTAACACACGAGTGTGTGTTAGGGAAGACAAACTTAAAGGAAAGCAGAAAGAGTACAAAGTCTGTCAGTTATGAGAAATGCTATGGTAAAAATAGGGCAGAGGACCTCATGGTACAATGCGAGGGGAGAAATGGTGCGGCAGGACTGTGCAGAGAAGCATTAGGGCACAGTGTTTGGGGAGGAGATTCGGGAGCCCCCAAATGTAGGGTCTTATCCCACCTCTCCCATTTTCTGTGTGTCCTTGGGCAAGTCATTCAGTGCTTGATGCCTTAGTCTCCTCATCTGTGAAATGGGAAGGGTATTGGAACCCAGCACAAATAGAATGGTTATAAGAATTAAATTATATATATATATAGTGATTTATATAAGTTATATACATATACACACACAGGGTCTGGCAGAAGTAAGGCCTGCTTGAGTATGGTTGGTAGGGTAATAATATGGATGTAATAATTTATAGTTTTAATTTGAACATTTCACCTAAAATGTTATATGATGTGCTTGAGTGTGATATTGTTATGTTATAGAATTACATGCTTAACTCTGATTTTGTAATAAAAGAGTGTGTAATAAAAACAGAGCATTATTTGTGCTGGGCCCTGTATTTTATATACCAACAATATATAATTATATTATTATAATGATCTAATTACAATAATTATATATTATATAATTTATTATATATTATATAAATACTTATATCTTGAATAAATATGTGTTTATATGTTATATAATTACATATTATATATATTGTTTGGAACAATGCCTGAGTTCACAGTAAGAGCTCAAAAAATGTTAGCTATTAACACTATTGTTCATTCACTCATTATTTACCTACTAGCCATTAACCCACTACATGCTATGAAGTATATTAAAATAATGACATGCATTTCTGGTCTCTCAAGAAATGAGGTGGGAGTACATGCCCAGTACCCCAATTCAAGGTGTTGTAAACCTTCTCATCTTTCGGGGGGACATCACGTTCACAGTGCCCCCCTATACAACACCCAGGGGCCGTGAAAGCACCTTCCCACCCCGATCTCTTTCAGCCATCACCACAGTCATGACAAATACTCTTGCCCCCTTTGAACCTGCTGGAGAACAGAGACGAACAGATAATAAACTGCATCTCTACCCTCAGCCATTTTGTGGCTCAGCCTGGAGGTGCAGTCGAGGTCAAGTGCAAGTGTACTGACAGCGTATGGCCTTTGACTCTATACAAGCCTGTATTTGAATCAAGAACTATTAATTAACTCTGTGGCCTTGGACAAATGACTTCACCTTTCAGAAACTCAGTTTTTACATGGGCAAGATGAGAACAATTAATGCTTTTTTCAAGGGAGAGCGTGAACACAGTCCTTCACTACCACAAATTACGCAGTCTAGTTTCCCACATTTAGGCACATCGCAGGGGTCAGCACATCCGGAGTGCAGTGGAAGAGCCTCGCCCTGGGAAACCACCTTCGCGATCATGGCCTCTCTCCTGCCAGGTAAGTATGAGGACAGTTAGTTCTGGCTGCAGTCAGTTCTGTGCCAGGACGCAATGAGATGATGTGTGTAAAGCACTGTGTAAATGATTCAGCCCATAATGAGCACCCGATAAAATGGTAGCTTTAAACTAAATCAAGACAGCAACACATCCCTCTCTCGGCTTCGTCAACTAGCACCCAGTGAGCACGTTTCATGAAGCCTCCGCGTCACCTTCGGATTCACAAGCTGACGTCGCGCATGTGCCAACGTGCACAGAAACAAAAGACAGAAACTAGACTAGAGTCCAGGAGAATGCGTTCCTTCCCAAACCGGTAATTTCATGAACTTCTCATTTGCTTGTCATCGATAGTGCCCAAAGACCGTATTTTTATATACATGTAGATTTTTTTCCAGATCTGCACTTAAGCTCTGCGAAGCGAGGATTTCAACACAACACAGATGAATAGTGCTTTACTTACCTAACACATGAGCTCTTCAAAGGTTTCATGTAAATTGGGTTTTGCAAATCACCTCCAAGTTTCAAGGGAAACTTCCACTCTAAAGAATCTTGGGGGTGAATCCTTTCAGAAGAGCAATGGGTCGTTGCTAGATTGACCTAGTTTGCCTATTTTCTTTTCTTTCTTTTTTTAATGTGCAGATTTTCAGTGTCCAGACTAACTAAAGCGGCACGCTTGACTCGGGTGGGAGCCAGAGTCCTTCCTCCAAGAGGATAACGTGACAGACTTCAGAGGGTGACTCGTGTCCCAGCAGGAAAAAAATTTGTTTTTCAATGGCAGATTCAAAGCTTAGGAAATTCAATTTTGACAATCTTGGGGAAGTGCCTATAGCACAATTTTTTACCAGAATGTGTTTGTAAAAATGGAGTCTACTGTGAGATTATAAACCATGGCCTGTAACGGTGCAAAGTTCTCAGACGTAGCACCCTGGACAAAACCTACATCAGTAATTGACTCCTAAATTCCCCTCAGCGGCTCAGCTTGCAATTGAAAAAGAAGTGTGATTAGTGATAGTTCACGCTTTGATCGAACAACCTGTGAACTTTGTGCATCAGAGAAAGCTTCATGAAAAGACGGCAACGCCCTGATCTGGGCCGTCAGCAGCCTGAGCAGGAACCTCGCTGAAAGGCCAGATGAAAGATGGGTCCTGACATTTACCAAGTTCCAGCAGGACGTGAAGGTGATGATGTGGAAATGGCTAAGCTGAGCACACAGGCGATGTGTATGCAGAGTGTATTCTCCTCTAAGTGGCTTTTATGGGTCAGTTAAACACAGTCAAGGCAATTGCCATTGAAAATAATCTTTTCCAGATCATATTCTTACAATGTTTTGCAGCCTGCTAAATCGGATCTTTCGTTTCAAGACTTCTGTAAGCAGGGCTAAATCCTTAAAAGGTGAGGAGGAGGGACTTGATTGTGGTGGTCTGGGTGGCTCAGAGAAGAGATAGAGGAGGAAGCAGAATGTTCTCTAAACAGGGAAGGGCCCCTCAGCATCCTATGACACTGGACCACCCCCCAACCTGGGAACCAGAGTAGCTTTTGCCGTTGGAATAATGAGGCTCTGCCAGCCAGTGTCCTGTTAAAAACGGCTCACCGCTCTGGTCACCGGCTGCCCTAGCAACTGGCTGGATTGTGTCCAAGAGCATTAGAGCCAGGCAGTCCTGGGAGGGTGGGTCCTGGTTCCTCCACTCACTGTGTGTGTGCCTTTGGGCAGGTCGTTTAACATCTCAGGTCTCCGTTTCTTAACCTGTCACTCTGGGGTCATGACAGCAATGGGGAAAATGGGTTTCTTGGAAGGGTGGGAATATGATCCGGTTACCAAAAGGAAATTGATAAGTGCTTGAACTGAAAACAGTCCTAACCTGTAGGACCTCATAACTCGGTTGTGCAAGCAACACAGGTAATACTTGCACAGCCCGTGGCACAGAGCCAGGCACAGGGACAGCTCTGCTGTCATGTCAGCAATGGGGAGAGATGTCACTCAAGCAGCATCAGGGGCCCTCTGGGGATGTCTCTCGTGGAGATGTTCTTGGCATGACAATGAGAGAGAACAATCACAGAGCACTCAGTATGTACCAGGCAGGCCATGTGCTAAGAGAGCTACCATGAATGCACTCATTTAACCCTCACAGGGCCCCTAGGAGGCATGTGGAATTGTTACGACCATTTTATAGGGGAGGGAGACGCAGGGAGGAAGTGGCGATACGACTACCCCTAGTTCAGTCTGCAAGTGAAAGGTAGACGCCAGGCTTGTGCCTAGGCAGTCTGGCTCCAGAGCACACGACCTTGACACTGTACTGCTGCAGTCATGTGCCATTAAGGAAATTTTAAAAAGTTATGTCCTTACAAATGCAGCGGTGGTCACCAAAAAAAGTGTGGTCATTATATATGCCAACTCATATAGATACATTCAGTATATACGGGTCAGGGTGTGTGTATTTATACACACACACACATATCTATATATAGGGTCAGCATATATGTATAATAAATGCATGTATATTATATATAAATGCAAAATATTATGATTATGTAAATAATTGTACATATCAAAACCATGTTTTTAACCTAATAGAACTTGCACATGTCAATCAGCTGTCTCTCTGCACCATGGACAGTGATGGCGTCTTTCAATGGCAACCTGAAAATTAGCCAAGAAACAGCTGGAGTCATTTCTTACCAGCCCTGGGGCGTCATCATGTATCAGCCCCTGATATCACTGAAACCAGAACCTAGCAGTCACTTCAAATGCCACCCATTCTAACCCTCCCTGTTCGACGCTCTAGCATTCTGTACTGATCTACCCATTCTGTATGTGAAATGTCTATCCCTCTTCCTTCTCTGCTCAACACCACTGTTTTTAATTCAAGCACTCATTGATTTCCTTTTGGATAAGAGAGTGAGATTCCTACTCTTTCTCACTGACAACATTCTTGCCCATACCTATCTCCAAGAAGTCTGTTTTCCTCATTGCCACTGAGAAATCATCCTAAGACACAACACTGACAATGTCAAATTTCTGCATAAAGGCTCAGTATCCACAGAATAAAATCTAAACTCCTTACTAAGACACACAAATTCCTGTATAATCTGGCCTTTTCCTTTCTTCTCACTCCCTTAGGTGCAACTACGCATTGGCAGGTGCTGTTTTTTCTGAGAGGAAAGCCCTCTCTTTCCTGATAACCTCCCCCATAGCTTCCACCTCACATAGCTTTCATTTGGAATGCCCTACTCAATCATTAAGTCTCAGTGCAACCATCACCTCCTCTAGGAAGTCTTCCATGATTCCCCCAGCAATAGTTAACAGACTTCACCTCTATGCCTATAATTGTCAAACTGTAACTTTCCCCCTAACACTAGTATATAAGCTTTTGATGGCCAGTACTGTGTGCCCACAATATATTCTCAGTTCCAAAACAGTCTCTGGCTCAACCCTGGGAGCTCAGCAAATATTTATATTATTACAGTCCTATCATATTGTAGTATAGCCATTCGTAGATGTGTCTGCCTCCTCCACAGGAAATTTGAGCCCCTGGGGCAAAGATAATCTCCTTTGTCTGTATTCCAACACATTTCACTGTGCCTGGCAAAAGTGAGCGGTCAGTGTTTGTTGAATGAATTAATGCACAGGCAAGTAAGTGAATAAACCACACAGCCATGCAGGATTTCCTTTTCTACCAGCACAGCCCAAAGTTATGTTTAGTGGTAAGTATGCCTACTAGCACGTCTAGTGATATTTAGAGAGAGCTATCATGCCGTTATCAAACAAACCAGATTCAAAGAGACCAAAGGCAACTTGCTTGCATGCGTCATACATAGAAGTGAAAATATGGATATGTAAAATCCAAATTTTAATTTAGAAAAACAGTATCTTTTGCCATATACCTATTCAGTTACGTTTCTTCATCAGAGGAAACTTGAAAGGGCTGTAATCTGATGTGTGGTCTACACAGGGCAGAAACCCCACTCAGCTGAGGGTTTGTAAGAGAAATCATTTTCTTACTGTTCCTGGGAACTTTCTCATTCATTACGTCATCTCCCTGTGAGCTGGGTATTAGAATCACCACCACTGTCAGAAAAGAAATGAAGGTACGAGAGCTTCAGGTGAGAGAAGGAACCCCTGGTGTAGCAGACCCTGGTGTCCAATATTACATAGGGGTGTCAGCAGACCAAACACTACAGCTGTGTCTCTCAAACTCCAGGGTGACGGATTGTCTCATGAAAAATGTGCCCTATAATGGGGCCTCATCTCTGTCGGGGACACTAAGTAAGGCACAGGGCTTTATACTTTACAGTTTCTTAATGGTGAGCAAGAGACACCAAGTCTCTATTTTCCTTTGACAACACGATAAAGAAAACCCATCTTTGCAGCAAAAGGGCCGAGAGGTAGAAGGATCAGAGCCACCCATCTGCTCTGAACTCTGAGTCACTCGTTTATTTCTTCAACAACATGGGCTGATTCTGGGCCCCATCCCAGGCCCCACGCTAAGTTTGGGAAACATAAACCGATATGAAATAGAGCGTGTGCTCCTAAGGACTCCCAGCCTATGAGTGAAGGTAGCTCAGACAAAGATCAAGTACAACATAATCTGGGGGGCGTGATAGTGAACAGAGAATCCAAAACCCTGGGGACAAAGGGAAGGGAGGGCCTTATATAAGTTTTTGTTGTCAGCAGCCTTTAGAGAGCCAGACACTCTGCCTTCCTGAGGTTCACCAGTGAAGACAGGACAGCAAGAAGTTAGACACCGTGGTTCATGCCAGCTCAGAAAACAAGCCAGCCAAAATGAGCTGGAAGACTTCACTGAGAATATTTTCTAGGAAACTGGGTTTTGTACCTGATGAATACATGTGATGATTGGAACAAATTGCCAGACCTGTTCTCCGGCACAGATTACCTTTAACGGGAGTCGGAGGGCGTGGGGGAGCGGAGTAAGGACTCCTGTGTCAGAAAACCCGGCTTTATTATCATAGCAACATCTCAGTCTCAGCCCAGTGTTACCCAGAGCCTCTCA